TCGATCTGATTAAACACTCAGCTGCCTTCAGCAGAATGTTGTTTGGCTCAGAAACCATGATGTTAAACCGTTCGGTTTGGGTGCAGAATAGACCCTATTCAGAACTGCCATCACCAAGTCCACGCCGAAACGCGTGTGCTGGAAGAGGCTCAAATCCAAGGACCGATAATCAGAAGATGCCACATAATTCACGGTTAACACAGTCTTCTTGGGTTAATGGAGATAAAGAGTACAGATTACATCTGAGTAAGAACCCACTGAAGCCGATATCCATAGACCATGATATGGGAATTAGAACGAACATCTGTCGGCGGCGCGGTACTGTTCATGATATTCTTTGTGCTCGTTAAAGGACAATTCAGCGGTCAGTAAGGTCAACACAATAAAAACATCTCACCCATCCTCTCAGTGATTGGATGGTGGGTAAGTTATTTTAGCGGATCCGGCCGCTTGCGCCCGATCTCACCTCCGGTGTTCCTGACTCTAACTTCATATCGGACACGAGAGGGTGAAGGAAGACAGCGTGCGATAGATGCAACACAAGTTTATTATAAATGACAACTAATCCACGCGTTAGTTATCGTTCCTGCACTATTATTCCGTAGAGCATATGGTTAATCGTCGAAATCGGCGTTGAATTATCGATGGTTGTGCTGACATCAGTCATTTTAAGAATAGTTCAAACAGTCATCTCTGGATGTGATCGACGTGGCTTCTGTCGCAGTTTTCCAGGAAAACCTACAGTAACTGTGATTGCACTGCCCTTTTGAGGAGGAGCAAGGGTGCAACCCAATAGTTTTGCAACTCAAAGTGCTTTCCCCTGGGTGACAAGAGGCCTAGACTGGTGAGAGCTTTTTCTGCCTCGGCTCCTCTGTGCAAACCAACACCCGAAGGAGACAGGTAGCACTGTTCGAGTCGTAGCATTTCTTTCAACCTTCCAATGGGCCTGTGTTCTCGCAACAGGCTTTTACTGTTGTGTTTTGACCAGTGTTAAGCTACCATGGAAGCCGTTCTTGCGTTAGTCGCTGCTGGTCGAATTTTCGATAGCTGACTTCTTCGAGGAATCGTCCGATTTCTTCTCTTTGATCACGCCTCTGGACATCTCTTGTACCCTATTTGATAGGGAGTTTTGGTCTCAAATATCGGTCACAACCCTTTGATCAAACGTGAATCTCATTTCTCCAAACGCCGCGTCGACCATCTTAAAAGAGGATGGATGTGACTTATTCATCTCTCAAGAGAATGCTCGGACTGACGGTATTCCGGAGTAAAAGGCTAACTGGAACGCAATTGCAGACCATGGACTGCACTGATTCTTGATGTCTTAGATCCTAGACCTGAAACAACGTTCATGTCCGACGAAGCAAGTATGATTTATATCAGTGTATAGTCTCATTTAGATCTATTTTTGTTTGGGCTAGCATTACTATAAGAGGTCTTTCTGTATGACTTTTTTCGTGTCGATTGTGTTGTCGACCTGAAGAAGGAAAACCTCTACTTCTAACTTTCGCCCCACGGGGGCAAACGTAACCCTGGTGTGCATTTCCGTGTACCTGCTCTGTTATGGTGGTGTTAGTAAACCGACCGAGATGGATTTGTGGTATTCGTCAGCTTTTTTCCTTTTATCTACTCAAAAAAGGCTTGCGTTAAAGGACAATACCTGCAACGTGGCCCATATTCCGCTCTGAGGCGGTAGATTCTTTTTTGGAGCAATATCAGCTGAGCACAATGGAAAGCTGTCTTCATTTCAGTTGACACCAGCCCGTTTGTCTTCACACAAATAACTGCATCAAAATTACGGTTGACGCTGGGTTTTGCGCGTTGAAGATGAACGAAGGCTAGAGATATTTGACGACCGCTGCCTGAGGACCATCCTTCGAGTGAAGTATATCGACTTCATTTCAAATGAGACAGTCCGCACCCGCTGCGACAACACCGCGAGGATATCTCAAGCGATCCAAAAAGGCGATTGAGGTGGTTTGTGCACATTCTCCATCGTCCGCCTGACGAGCTTTGCTATGCTGTCCTCGATCCAGCGCCAAAACCCACGCGTAGGCGTCGATGTATTGGGCAACTCAAGACCTGACTCTACGCCGTTCGTCAAAACATCGAAGTAGTTCTTTGACCTTCAGTTTTCGGTCTCCGTTACTAGAAAAAAGAATGGGTGGAGTTTTTCAGGTCCGCTGCCGCAAATGGAGAGGTACCGTCCGTGGCATCATTAAGGCCGACTAGATCAGACATGATCACAGCCATATCAAGTACACGTGCCAAGATTTCTATAGCACTCTAAAAGCACTATCTGGGCGATTAATAATTGACCGAAATTATGAATCAGCTCCTTCTGAATGTAGCCGTTATGACAACAATTCCAGGCATGATTATCCGACAGTGGAGTATATTTTGAGCAGAGGTAAGAATATGCTTCGTGTAGCCGAACGAGGTTCGGGCTACCTATAAATTGTCGAATTGTTACTTTTTCAAAACCTTTGCCTCCACCTTAACTTACGGGTATTTCGACAAGCTTCCTAACGCAAGTCTCCCTCAGGGTCAGAACTTCCAGTCACTACATTTTTTCTTCGCCGCTTCTCTTGAATATGTTTACCAATCAGATGTAGCGAACCACAGT